TTTTTCTAATTATCCAGCAATTAAAATCATGTGCAAACCATGCAATTAATTAAGAAACAAAAGGTCAGCGATGGGAAGAGTGAAACGGGACATTTTGGCAGTTTAGGGGCTTTCCTTAGAAATGGGAAAAGAACAGCCTCAACCTGGAAAGCTAAAGCAAATTGAGAGAGGAAGTGGTAAGAGTTTCACTCATTTCCACTTCCTCCTTCAATTCCCTGGTTTTCCAGACTGAGCGGATAGGATATTAGGAGGGAGGGAAAGGAAGCATTTTGAAAAACTTTTGGAGTCAAAAAAAGGGAAAAGATGGGTTTAGTTTTTACTTCTACTCTCTGAAGTAAGTGTTTGGCTTAGTTTCCCCCCTCTCTGGTGTTTGTGTTTATCTGTCCTGCCTTGGGATCTGTTTATTTCACGTTATTGTGTCTGCAGGGGGGTGTGTGTGTGTGTGTGTGATATGAAGTTTGTTTCATTTTTTCCAGGGGAGGGATGTCTGTGGTTGGGTGTTAGCTTGATTCAGCTCCTTCAATAATTAGCAAAGTTTTGCCTTTGCATAGTACTACTAACAAATAAAAGTTACGGCTTTGAAAGCGAACATTGTGAGGGTGAAACTGATGCAGACACTTGCTTTGAGTACTAGACTGGTGGCACCAGTGCATTAGGTAATACAGAAACTTAAAATTGTTTGGCATGGCTGAGGAATGTTCTCGCCCTGATAAAAAATGAAACACGTACTTGTGAGGCAAAGGGACAGAACAGAAGAAAGAGCACAAGGATGATTCTCAAGTGCCAGGGGAGACTTTCATGGGTGCCATTGCACCCATGGGTGCTCCATTTGGGATACCAGACTTAGCTGAAAAGCTTTCTGCTTAAACAATTCAAACCATCTCATGTGCATTTATCCAGCTGCTCCTGAGAGTTGGGAATGGGAAATGGCACAGAGGGGTGTAATTTGTACAGAGACTGGCAAAAATCAGAAAGGTTCACACAGTGCTTTTTTCCTAGAATAAAAGGTGCCAGAATACCCCCAGGAAAAAACCCACTGGGTTCACATCTCATTGCTTTTAAATGGAAGGAACGGACACAAAGCTCTCTTGAAAAATTTCCTCAGGCAAGCCATTTATTATTGTTCGACCTTGTGCCATTTACAATTTGAATTCCATGGGCTTCATCATAGGAGTGGCTGCCATTTGGAATTTGGGGCACTGTGTATTATCAGGCTTCTCCCCGCCCTCACACAGAGTGATGGACATGCAACCCTTCTCCATTCTCCTTGCACCATTATCAAGCTATCCAGGTTGTATCGGTGCTGTTGCAATGGGGAGAATCACTTGCATCACTCCACAAAAACAAAAGTCTGAGCACAGCTTGCGGATGCCACTCACTGAATCTGTGTGGTGATTGGAGACTGCAGGTGGCTGCCGAAGGCTTGGACCGCCTTCATCAGCCCAAGAATGCTGTTTTAAGCATTTGAGAAAGCAGGACGCTGCCAATAAAACACATGAGCATCCCAGGAAATCAGAAATTCTGGCACCTGACTTTGCTCTTGTTTTTCATTACAAGTTGCCCTAACCCCATACTTTAATGGTGGTGCAGCTCTGACCCAGCAGTCTGCTATTTGCTGTGCTGGCTTCGACACTTTTATATTCCCAAACTTTATTTCTGCCAAATCTAACTTCTTGGCTGCAAGATTCTTAGTTTTGTCTCTTTTCTGGATTCTGGGACTTTGCATTGGCCAGCCTCCAACCACATTCAATATGTTCTGGCCTTTCACTTGGCTCAAAGACCGTTCAAGAAATAAAGAGCTGCTTTTTACCAAGAGGATTTCTTAACTCAGCCAGACTGAAACAAAATCAGAATAATAATAATAATAATAATAATAATAATAATATGCATGGTACTTATATAGCTCTTTTTCTCAAGTGCTCAAAGTGTTTCACATACATTATTTATTTCATGACACAATAAATTTATTATTATTATTATTATTATTATTATTATTATTATTATTTCTATACCACCCTTCATCTGAAGATCACAGGGTGGTTCACATAAACACAAAAATACAAAACAGAACACAAATTACTTAATAAAACAAGAACCAAAGCATACCAATAACCCCTGTCCCACAAACACATTTAACAGGCCACAGAATGTTCAATCAGCCAAAGGCCTTGTTACAGATCTATGCTTCTGCCTGGCACCTAAAGATATGTAATGAAGGAACCAGGCAAGCCTCCCTGGGGAGAGCGTTTCACAAATGGAGAGCCACCACAGAAAAGGCCTGTTCTCATGTTGCTGCCCTCTGGATCTCTAGAGTCTATTGCATTATCAACATCTGCAACAGGGTGGCTTTCTGAGGTGACATGTTTTTTATCAAGCTGATGGGAGAGAGTGATACGGAGCTTAGCACTATAAATCAAACAGAGGTGACTTTCAAAGTCATTTTACTTTAGAAGAAACAAAGTTGCGCAAACCCATCCATAAGGATGCCAGTTCCTTTTCAAAGAAAGATCACGTGCGTTTAATAGCTACACAGAAACCGAGCAGGCATGACTTCTTCCATCACAGTGCTGCAGTGCTAGGAAAAATGCACAGGCTAAACCCCCTCTGTCTTGCAGCTATTAGAACCCAGGCAAGTCCAACTCTATGTCTTAACATGATTTTAAAAACAGAGAACGGTTTCAAAGCTTGCTAGTCGTATGAGGAGTGGTACAAGTTATTCAACACTGATGTTACAGGCATTATTCATTAGTACAGTTATACACTGTGTTGTGTCAGCACTAATGCAGAGGGGAAATTGAGTTTCACCAGGGGACACAATCTGTGGCTTGCGTGCTTGTAAAATAGTTTTTTTCTGTAACAACAAAGGCACAACTTGATAGAAAATGTCTCTCTTCCCAATCAGCAAAGGATTACAGGAGTCCTCACCCCAAAATGTGTGACATCTGCACACATCTTTAGTTACAGGGGCATACAGTAAATACTCAACCAAAGCAAAGGAGTCAAAACAAGCATCACATCCTAGATGACCAGTGCCCTGTTGCTCCCTTGAACTGTTGCCTACATTCCTCCACACAAGTTGCCTTTCTGTTTACTTTTAACGTATAATTGATGTGTATGTGCGTGACAGCACAGCAAGAAGAGAACAGTAAAATGCAAAGTGACTCCTCCTTGCCATTATCCTACATGGAAAGACAAGGCAAACAAACAGCAGTGAAAATGCAGCAACTCCCTGGACTTAATCTTATGTAAAAATGAGAGGAAAATACAAGAAGGGTACCAATCTTAGGAATGCCACTTGAATAAGTTGAGAAAGGCAAGTGATCAAGAAAAAAAGTGTATTAAACAACTAGGACTTTTTAAATTCATAATGCATTGATGGAGTAATCATTGAGGGAAATGCAGATGAGCTCTCAATTACAGTGGTACCTCAGGTTACATACGCTTCAGGTTACACACTCCGCTAACCCAGAAATAGTGCTTCAGGTTAAGAACTTTGCTTCAGCATGAGAACAAAAATCGTGCTCCGGCTGTGCGGCAGCAGCAGGAGGCTCCAGTAGCTAAAGTGGTGCTTCAGGTTAAGAACAGTTTCAGGTTAAGTACGGACCTCCGGAACGAATTAAGTACTTAACCTGAGGTACCACTGTAATAATAATTTATTTATACCCCGCCCTTCTCGGTTCAGAAAACCGGGCTCAGGGTGGCTAACAACAAATTTAAAATACTTAATTGTAGACGCAGCATAAAATACAGTATAAAAACATGATTAACAATAAAATTCAAAGTTCAGAAATCAATTTGAGGAAAATCCATCTAATAAACATTAGATAGTCACCAGGGCTAGCTGGCTGAATTAGTCCTACTTGGGCCAGTGAGGAGGCCAGGGGAGAATTAGCTGTGGGGTCTCAGAGCGGGTAATCTTCATAAAAGGGAAGGGGGAAGGAAGAGAAGGGAAATAAAAGATCAGGCTGAATTCAAATTAAAAGCCAGGCGGAATAGCTCTGTCTTACTGGCCCGGCAAAAGGAGGTTAAATCCTGTAGGGCCCAAGTCTCGTGGGACAGAGCATTCCACCAGGTTGGAGCCATCACTGAAAAGGCCCTGGCCCTGTGGAGGATAGTCTGACTTCCTTAGGTCCCGGGACCATGGTTATTCATGGACCTTAAGGTCCTCTGTGGGGCATACCAGGAGAGGTGGTCCCGTAAATACGAGGGCCCTAAGCCACAAAGGGCTTTAAAGGTCAAAACCAGCACCTTGAACCTGACCCTATACTCCACCGGGAGCCAGTGCAACTGGTAAAGCACTGGGTGAATATGCTCCCATGGCAGGGACCCTGTGAGGAGCCTCGCTGCAGCATTCTGCACCCTCTGGAGTTTTGGGGACAGTTTCAAGGGCAGCCCTGCATAGAGCAAATTACAGTAGTCAAGCCTGGAGGTGACTGTTGCATGGATCACTGTCACCAGATCGGGGTGGGAAAGGTAAGGGACCAACTTACCTAGACTATAAATAGACTATAAATATCGGAAGTCACTAACATACGTGAAAAATTTCAACCCTGGGTGTCAAATGCCTCTGTAAATTTGCAAATATCCAATACCGTGCCAAAATCTGGTGAAGCTAATGTAGGAGTCAAAAACAGAAATAAAAAGTGCACTCCTCATACTTTAAAATTATATCGACTCACTGGCTTTAAAGAAAAGGTTTAAGATCTGAAAAATTCATTATGTTTTTGTTCTCAGATTTATCCAGTTTGTTTTGAGTGCCCTGAAAAGCCTGACATGTGGGAACCGAGCAGTTGCATTGTTCCTGTGTTAACCTTTTGAGTGTCGTGGAAGCGCCGCTAGAGTTAACACCGAGAACTAAAATTTTGTTGCTTCAATGCAACGTTTCTTTCTATAGTCAGAGCACGGTACCAGAATGCAGCCCACAGCATCCTGCTACACTACATCAGAATGCAAAGTCCACCGTGTTATAGCAGTTATCCTGTAACTTTTTAAGTCTGGCAATTCCAGTTACTGCTGCTGTACCTTTAAACTCTGGAATCAAACCAGCAAAATGAGAGCAAGCAGTGTGAGGTCCAGCCCTTCAGAGCAGCTTCAGATGCCTCATTGAGAGTTATTGCACAGGGACAGGCGGTGCTGACAGTGCTCTGCCAAAACTCCTCTCCACCCAGCAACATGGCAAAGCACATGGCCCCCTTTCTCCTGCTTGTCCTCACCCTGGCAAGCTCATCCCTTGCACATCGAAAAAAGCTCCTGCTGTTCTTGATTGATGGACTTCGCCACGATTATATCAGCGATGAAGCGCTGGAATCCTTGCCTGGCTTCAGAGAGATTGTGAACAGGGGGGTGAAAGTTGATTACCTGACACCAGACTTCCCCAGTCTTTCCTATCCAAACTATTACACACTGATGACTGGTGAGTACTTTCTTAGACTTTCTCACTACAGGGCTCTTAACAGCAGGCAGCCTTAATTGTTGCAGATTGCATAAAGTCAGTAGTTTCTGTAACACTGCGGGGACGAATACGGACTAAATTTTTAAATGAGGATTCATCCTCGCTGAAGATTAAAAGGAATGACTGCAGGTCAGTCTGAACTATATATAAAAAAACAATAAATTTGTCAAGTTTTTGTTCCACTTTATTCTCAAGAAAGAAACTTCCCCCCCACAAATATAATCTTGTCAAACAGTTAGACCTTGTTGGCTCATCTGAAAAGCAAACAGTACAATCAGATTTTTTTATAAAAAATAAAAATAAACTTTGGCTATTAACTGTAGTTGTGGTGACTCGATAGTAAACCACTTAACTTCTCGCCTCAGGGAATATCAGGCATTAGCAAAAGTATTAAATGATTCTAGGACACAGAATACTATTCTCAGCTGGTGCATCTTCCCTCACTGGAATACAGTATTAGATTGTGCTGAGTGTTCTTCCCCACATTTCTGAATAACTGGTTAAGATATAATTTAACAATTACTGAAAACAGACATTCATTTATTTGAGGGCGTGTAAACACATTTAATCATTTTATGGATCATTTCACTATATTAAGCAAAATTTGCATCAATTCTAACTAAAACTGAAAATATTGTGGCAGGACAGGATGGGGTTGTTGTCCCCATCATTACAGTATTTTCTTTCTATTTTTGTTCGTTGCTTGTCACAGTTGAGAATGTAGATGCTTCCACAGCAGGTTTATATAGTAAATAATGTCAGGTATGTAAACTTGGAGAGCATCTAAGGTGCTCTCCAAGTTTTCATATTTTGCAATAAACCTTCCTTTTCATCCTAGATAAACTGCAATTTATTTGCTTCTCTAGAGTACTTCTAATATTTCCCATTCTGAGCACTTCTGCCAGCGTCAACACACGTGACCCTGGCATAATAAAAACCCTTGTGAGTAAAACCGGCATAATGTCATGGTTTGTGACTTTGTGCTTGTGCTGCGGTAGGTACATTGTTTCCTGCGTTACAATTAGCTCTATGATCAGCAAATAACTACTTACCCGGCTAGCCGCTGAAATGTCTTACTCTGAAGAAGCCCCACTCACTTCCATAGGACTCCCTCAGAATCAGAAGGTTGTGGACTGGAACTTCTGCAGTGTTTCCAAAGTTCACTTTGCTTCCCATTCCGGTTACACAGCAGGAATGTGAGAGAAAGAAAGAGAATATAAACAAGGGGCAACTGGTCCAAACACTGTGCAAGGATCCTGGAATTAAAAAAGCAAAGCACAAGTTTTGTATGATCAAAGCACTGCACTTGAATTAAAGAGAGGATCTGCAACAGTTTAAGTAATATCCAAATACATACAGCACTCTGAACCCCCTGGATAACTAAGGCTGTAATCTTAAACACACTTCTGTGTAAACCTGCATAGGCTTGCTCTGCATGTTGAGAAGGGTCCATAGCTCAGCAGTAGAACATCTGCTTTCAATCCCTGGCATCTCCAGATAGGGCTGAAACCCTGGACAGCTGCTGCCAGTCAGTGTAGACAAAACAGGGCGAGATGGACCAATGGACCAGACTCAGAATAAGGCAGTTTCCAGTGCAAATCACCCCTGCCATGCAATGATGGGAAGAAGATGCTGGGAGGTCAGGCAGCTGGAAGAAAGAGTTTGGATTTGATATCCCACTTTATCACTACCCTAAGGAGTCTCAAAGCGGCTAACAATCTCCTTTCCCTTCCTCCCCCACAACAAACACTCTGTGAGGTAAGTGGGGCTGAGAGACTTCAGAGAAGTGTGACTAGCCCAAGATCACCCAGCAGCTGCATGTGGAGGAGTGGAGACGCAAACCCGGTTCACCAGATTACGAGTCTACCACTCTTAACCACTACACCACACTGGCTCTCTTAGCCACTGAGGACACCTGTTCTTTCCAGAGACAGTGATAGATATAGGAGTGCTCTCAAACTATATACCTGCTCCTTCAGGGAGAGGGCAACTTGATCAAGAACAGACAACTTGTCAGTTCCCCAAACTTGGGAGCAACTTGCCCACAGGGCTTCTGTATTACCAGGATTCAGCTTCAGTTGACTGGCCTTTATCCAGCCCCTTAATAATTCCAGACATTGGTCAAAGAGACTTCTTATCACCTCAGAGATGTGAGGAGTAGAGAAGTAGAGCGGAGTGTCATCAGCATACTGCTTACACACCTTGCTCCATATTACCAATTGGAATGGTCATCTTTTCTACCCAGTCACATCTGGTTTATCAGGTTACTCTAGGAGTAGGACCTGGGAATGAACCCATCACTACATAGGAGTGGCTGCTAGATGAGAGTGAACCAACAGACACTCCTTATTTACTTACTGTCACACTACAAAAATGCAATAAACTTCCTTGTGCCATATTTGAAGAACAAGGGCTATGATTCTCACAGTGCACTACTTACCATACTAGAGGATTTTGATTGGGCGGGGAAATCACAATAAGCACACCTAGGCTGCATTTCTTCAAGAAATAATTCTTGCAAAGGGGGCACTGGTGCTGGTGTTGCTCCCGTAAGTGCTCCAGCAAGATGGCACACCGCATGGCTGTTGGTTGGCAAGGGAAAATAGGTACATAAAAAGAGAATTTACTGGATGCCAAGATCCAGATCTGGGGCAGGTACTCTTTGGTGAAAGAACCCCAGCAGAGATTTAAAACATCACAAAATATGCAGCAAAGTAAAACATGGAAGTATAGGCTGTTAGGCATTTAAAAGACACCCTCTAAGTTTCTTCCAGAGTTTCCCACTTCCCCTAGCACAAAAAAAGACCAAATGTTTGGTAAGTTAAAAACAGTTTACTTACAAACTTTTCCAAAGTCAGATTCATGTGCTTTTGCATGCAGCATTCAGGAAACACAGGCAACAAAACTTAGGTTAGTTCCAAAGTGTTGAAAGTTCCAAAATTATTAGGTACAGGAAGACAAGGATTGTTTGTAGAAAAGGTGAGGGGGAGTGATCTAGCTAAGTCTGGAAATGTAGCTCAATAAAGGCATAACTAACACTAAAATGCTTTTATCAGGAGTGGGTACCAAGGTGAAATTTTGGTGTTCCTAGTTAGTTGCAGGTCCCTTCTGGATTCTATCCAGAAGAGCCAATCCCTTAGTCGACACACTTACTCAAGGTCAAAGCAGAGCTCAGTTTTGGAAAAAAATAATAGTCTAAAACAGTTTGACACACTGCTTTCCAGAGTTGGTTATCACCCAATTGCAGGAAAACACTCAGCTGACACAGTGGCAATTCTTTTAATATATTTTAACTGAGCAAGGTCCACTCTTGCCTTAATTGTCGGCCACCCGGATTCTGTACGAAGAAGGATCTTTCAGGAAAACCACGACTGGTACATGTTTGTTGTGATTATAGCCCCAAGTCTGTACTCATTAGTGAAACACTCTGGTAAATGCCAGTCAAAGACTCCTGCTGTCCCAGACCTGATAATTTTTGTGGTGGTTAAGTATGGCTTTAGCTCTGTGCATTTTTATTCTTCTGCTATGTGTTTTTAATTTGTTTAATGCTACGGAGTTGTATTCCTCTACTGTTTAGTTTTTAAAATTGTGTAGTTTGGCCTTCTTCAAGCGCTCTAGCTACTTTGGACTACAGTTCTCATTAACCCCAGCCATCAAGGGTTATCACATCAGCATAGACTTGTTCTATTTGCTGTGGGTTTTTTGGATTTTTCTTGCACTTGTAATACAATATAAAAACAAGAGCAAATAAAAAGTAAGTTGCCTACTGTGTTATCGGGCAGTCTGTAAACAAACAAATAGGGATGCAGGTTCCCTGAATCATAAATATTCACAGGTGTGCAAACATAATTTGCAAATATAGAAACATTTCTTAATTCCATTTTCTAGCCCTCTACCTTTACAGTCCATTGCTGTTAAAATTCCCCCCACCCCACTGCACTGCCAGAGAAGATTATCATCTCCAGTAAGGGAGCAGCAAATGAACAGTTTTGAGCGGGGCAAGCATCCAGAGACCCGATGTGCTGTACAGAAAGTAATATGGAAGTACTTTCCCCTGTTTTCTATAAGGGGGTCAATAGCTCTTTAACCTACGCTGCATTACATCTGGGCTGACTGATGCTAGAAGACGGGAACTCCCTGGCATGTGAAGCTTGTCGGGGGCAATGAAGTGTAATCAGGAAGGTTACAGCAGCAGGCAGATGCGTGAAAAAGTACTTTTCTAAGAGCAAGGAGAGACTGTTGGTGCTGAAGTTAGATAGGGAATGTGGTGATGGGATGCTCCAGTGGGATCTCCCCCCCCCCCCGATGGTTCAGAACAGGGGTCAGCAACCTTTTTCAGCCGTGGGCCGGTCCACCATCCCTCAGACCATGTGGGGGGCCAGACTATATTTTGAAAAAAAATATGAATGAATTCCTATGCCCCACAAATAACCCAGAGATGCATTTTAAATAAAAACACACATTCTACTCATGTAAAAACACGCTGATTCCTGGACCGTCCATGGGCCGGTTTGAGAAGGCAATTGGGCCACATCCAGCCCTTAGGTTGCTTGCCCCTGGTTTAGAAAGTTGTTGTGAAATTTTTGGTCAATTGTAGAAAGACATGGCAACTGTTGACAGAAGGTTAGATCAACTGCAGCAAGCTGATTCCTACATATTTGAGGTCTTATTCCCATATACAGTGGTACCTCGGATTACATACACTTCAGGTTACAGACTCCACTAACCCAGAAATATTACCTCAGGTTAAGAACTTTGCTTCAGGATGAGAACAGAAATTGTGCTCCGGCGGCGCGGCGGCAGCAGGAGGCTCCATTAGCTAAAGTGGTGCTTCAGGTTAAGAACAGTTTCAGGTTAAGAACGCACCTCCGGAACGAATTAAGTACTTAACCCGAGGTACCACTGTAGAACATAACAAAATATGATAACAAATGCCAAAAAGTAAAAGTAAAAGGGATAATCCAGAACTGAGTGGTGATTACATGCTGTACTTACTATGCTACAAATCACACAGCTAGCTTCTGTGATCACTTCCATGAACTGCACAAGTACTCCTGAAAACACAAAAATTTTCATAGAGAGATGGGGAAGGCTTAGGGAAATTCTTATCGTCTCAGCCCTTCAACTGTGTTTGCTTGTTTAAAACATTTTTTATTATCACCTACAATAAAATACCACAATAATGATAGTGACCCATCTTACAGGGATGTGAAATGCTCTGAAAAGAAAAATATCAAGTATTGTTATTATATGGTTTTAATCAGCTACAATGCCTCCTCTGTGTCTACAAAAACAGTGAGCCACAACAATGGGTAGTTAAATACAGCAAGGGAGGTTATGAATAGCCAGTTATTACTGTTAACAATGTTTTGCATAGCAATTTATTGTGCAGTAATTTTTGCCTACCTAAATCTTCAAGAATATATCTGTTATGACCTAAAATGAGTCCAGTTAATACTTAATTATGAAAGAAACTGAGGGGAAGAGAATATGATAATTTGTTCGCTATCTGGTGACAAATCTATTACATGGGACTGGCCTTGAAAACTGTTCAGATATTACTGCTTTCTGGCAGATTCAGCCCTACCATTAGGAAGGGTGAGGAAGTCACCTCAGGCAGTTGATTTTGGGTATCCTGAAGGGCAGAAAATAGTTTTTTATATTACTTCTGGGGACAGGTAGAAGCACTTATGGGATTTTTTATTTATATTTTATGCCTTAGGTGGAAAAATTATTTGACAAGTCTTTGATGCTGTGCATCTCAACTTGTTTGTGATCACCTGCAGTACTTCAGACAGCAAGCTGTCTTGGGCCAACCTTGCATATAATCTTTCTTTCCTTTCCAGCATTTGCCAGTTTGCACCCAAGCTTGGCAGAAGGTGCTGGTATTTATTTACAAAGCTGTTAGGGCTTACCTATAAAGGCTTAAACAATCAGGTAACAAACACTATGTCACATGTAAAGCCCCACAACAGATGAATCATCCCTGCTTTGCAACTGACAGAAATTTGTTGAGATAGAGGTGAGGCTTATGGAGTAATGACTTCTCCACGTAAATGTAGAACATCCAGCTATGTAATATCTTTGTTAAATGGAACAAAATTATTGAAAATATTCCTGTTCCGTTCCATCATGTTTGGGAGAAATACGTGATGCCTGCTACTACTCCCCCTGCCCAAATCATAATTGGGTTTTATATTTACATTTTACTGCTTGGATTCTAGTTTCATTCTGTGGTATGATTTTTAAAGATAACTTACATTTCCATGGGTGCTCTGTAGCAGCCAAGAGATCTGAGGTCTTAAATGTCGAAGAATTGCTCATACATGGGAAGAAAAGCATTGGCACTGGCTTTCCATCCAATTTACTTTTTCTAAATAGGGTTCAGTGCCGTTATTATTATTTTTAATCTGCATGTCACACACTCATTCCTTGAATAAGTTTACCATTATTCTTATAATGTTTCCATTGAACAAGAAGGAGCAGTAGAGAACAGGTGCATGCATAGGTGACCCTTAAAATAAAAACAGTAAAAGGTGGGCAGCCCATCTTCAACATTAGGGGAGGGGCAAGACTGACAGCTCGTTCCATTTGAGCACGTTGACATGTACATCTGCCCCACAATCTGCAAGCGAAGAACTCATGAAATTTCTCTTTGCATCTTCTTCACACTAAGTCAATACAACTTTAACTTTCCTCTCCCTATTTTGCATTATATCAAATGCCAGTCTAGGTGGCTTATGACAATACAACTTGATGATGTTTTACCAGTCATTTCATTCATCCATACTAGAAAGAGAGCATGAGTTCTGCAGCTCTTCTGGGGGTGCACAATAATAGATACTTTTCTTCAAAACTGCATCTTTACATTCATTACTTATTTGCAAGATTTGAGCTGGAGTAATTCTTTATCTAGTGCCCTCTAAGTCTACGAGAGAGAAGTGAGACTTTATTCTACTTCCACAGGGCCTTGAAATGGGTATGGGGGTGTTATGACTGCTAAACATAACTGAGAAGTGAGGCTATAAAGCAATCATCTCACCTTCTAGGTCGCCACTGCAATGTCCATCAAATGACTGGGAACTACATGTGGGATGCAAGTACAAATATGTCTTTTGATATCGGCGTGAATCAAGAGAGCCTGCTGCCTCTTTGGTGGAATGGATCAGAGCCCTTGTGGGTCACTATGATGAAAGCAAAGAGGAAAGTCTTCATGTACTATTGGCCTGGTGAGTGTTGCTGAATTCTGCACTTCTTAAAATTGCTGACTAACATTACATGTTCTACTTTTTAACTGCTCTAAATGCAACCTCAAGATCGATCGCTCTGGCTCTGACCCAACGCACAGCAACCAGAAGACTCTGTTTAAAAAGCTTGAATACCATCAACCAGCAAGGAAAGTCAAGCAGATGGGAACTGAAACTGGTCCACTTATTGCTTTCTCTTCTAGCATAGTAAGACTAAGAATGGAATAAGAACCCTTCTGAATTAATCCAAAACCCCATCTAAACCAGTATCCTATTTCGTACATTGTCAGCCTAAGGGAACCTGTGTATCTATGGGGGGCATGCAAGCAGGACAAATGGCCCACAGCCATCTCTCACTGTTGTTCCATGGTAACCGGTACTCAGAGGCAAAGTGCTTCCGATTCTGGGGGTAGTATACTGCAGGGTACACACTTCTGCACACGAGGAAGCCTTTAAGCGGATGGCAACACCTATTCTTAGCTATCTATAAAATGTTATAGGCTGGTGGGGGGGAGCTAGAAATTAATAAATGGTAGGATTTTGATTATTTGGGATATGAAGGGAAAACAACAGCTGTGGATGAATTCCTGGGCTAGCCTGTGTAGAAAACAATCTGGCCTAGCAAGGGCCATTAAGAAACAGTACAGGGCCACTGAGGGCCATTGGCAATGCAAGGTAACTTCCCACCTTCCCACCTGCCCTGAGGCTACCAGGGTAACTGGGTATGATGGCACCGGAATATTTTGGGCCTTTGGTTCAAGGCTTGGGATAGCTGAGAAAAGGCAGAGTAATCCTGGCTGGCTGGCTGAAGGCAAGCTGGAAGATATGCATTAGACTTCCGTGCTGCACTGCTATGGGCAACGAGCCCCTCTCGAGACGACCATGCTGCAATAGTTGGACTCCTACCATCTAAATTCAGGTGTAAATATGTGAATAAATAGTATTTCTTAGAGTTACGACAGCCTCCACCACGTCTTCAATTCCCCAAAGGAGCACAGACCATGGTTGAGGGCCAAGACACCTGGAATCCCGTGCACAACTGGGCAGGAATTGAAGTAGCGCTACCACAACCAGGGCAACAATACTGTGGGATATTGGATGTCATATGAGAAAGATGCACAGGAGTATCGTCACCTTGACTGCAATTTGCAAATCGTTTAATCTAGAAAATACATATGTGCTATTTTTTCAAGAAAAAGAGGTGCCAGAACTCACCACTAACACCTCCGTTGTTCTCTTAGAATAGCAATGGCATCCACCTGAGAGATGCCAGAACTGAACTCCTGTGAGTTCCCCGTTCCTCCTGAAAAAAAGACCTGCATATGTCAGCTGCTTAGTGTAGCTGCCTTGAGAACCATGTTAGCACTTACCTACAGTCACCAACAGATGTTCTATCACATATAAATGGATCCTAACATTTGAGCTGCAAACTTCTGATATTAATCTCACCAAAATAGTATTCGGTTAATTCTGTTCATTAGGCAAAAAGCATATTTATTTCAATGAATATTTTCTAATACGTTTTCCAATAAGAGCAGTATGTTGATCAACATTGTCAATGTATCAGGCCATGCCTCTTATGTATCTGGAATGCCAACATGCAAATATATGCAAAGTTCAACAATTCCCTTTTTCCATTAAAAATTGGCATCCATAACCCAGAGATTCATGGGCACCCCAGGATATACTGGTGTATTTCCTAGTCAGTCACTAGTTTTGCTAAACCCACAAACCACTTTCGCTTTGGAGGTAACATTGAATGTGGAACTATTGACAAAACTCTTGAGATATAGTCACTGGATATTATGCTTTCATTCTACAAATGAAGTCCCACGTTAATACTGCTTTTGTAATGGCAATAGTTTACTGTTGCTCCTTATGTGTGTGCACACTTTGATATATGTGCAGGACTCTGTTTGTTTGTGCACAGAGAATGCAAATGAGGCAGCTGAACTACTCATTCATGTTCTATGCTAATTCATCTCATCTTACCACGTATGCACTTAGTCACGTCTCCCCTCATACAATACTGCATAAGATCATTCAACAGAAAGGGCAGTGTCTCAGCAACAGACAGATACAATAATAATAATAGCAATAATGACAATACAAGTTGGCATTTGCTCAATTCTGACAGGCAGAGAAACAAGCCAAGCCATTCTTCCTTTCTTAAATAGGAAACCTGATGAACAGCTAAACTATCACAGCCCGTTAAGCCTTGCACACAAATTGCTATTGCTGTCAGATGTTCTTCAAATCCATCCAAATGGAATCTCATCTTATGATAATTCCCAAATGATTGTTTGACAATGTCAGCCTGTCCAGTTTTTATAAATACTTGTACAACATAATAAAGAATTAAAGTCGTTCGATAAATTTTAAAACATGAATCATTTCATAATCAGAAAACAGATTCTGAACTAAGTTTTAAAACTGTAGAAACTATTAATTACTGGAGGATTTTGTCTTCAAAAGTTAAATTGCACTCAATTAATGTGTCTATTTCAATGGTTAGACACCCTCAAGTTAGGCAGCAACATTTTAAATTATTCCCTGATTAAAACAATTAGGACAAAATAAGCATTAACATTTTAAATACTGCAGAATGCTTAATTAAAATCTCCTGTATTTGAAAGCCACCCAAAACAAGGCAAAGAAATCTAAGGCATCTAAAAATGCTAAAAGCTCAAAAATGGTTGAGTCTCAAGAAGAAGGAAACTCCACAGTTACGGTGGAGCCACTTAGAACATATCTGTACCTGACTTTGCAATGTACACAAGAAAATACTATCGTTTGCTCTTAAAGATGACAGTTCCATGGAACTAATGCTACAACCTGGGAACACTTCCTTGCCCATGCTTGGCCCAGAATGGACCATGGATGAGCACAGCAGGAGTTGGGAAGAAGACTGTATTGTGCCAGGTGTATATCATGGTTCTGAACCATTGGAACCACTCACCTGCAGTCTAAAGTCATACAGTCTAGTCAGAATATTTGTTAAACTTGAACAACTATATGCCTCAGAGCACATGGTATCTCAGAATACATGACATAACTAACATCTGTGCATCAACACTTTTGTGGATCACTGATACTGTTGTGAAAGAACCATGCAAATAAATTGACCGCTTTTGAGCTCCCGATTATTATTGATAAAATGTTACAGTCCTCTCATCTTTTTCAAAACTTGATTTAAGGTCATGTCAAATAACATTTTGAAGTGACTATGCAGCTGCTCAGTTTGTTTATAAGAATATGGACGTGTTTACTTCAGCTAAAGTTGAATGACCATGTCACTAGTGAATTTTAAAAATCTAAAGTACAAAACCACAAATTCCATTCCTTTTACCCCTCTCCTTCTGATCAAGACATTTCCCAGACCATTTGCAGCAATCTGGAAACCTTTAAAAGAGTTGTGTTATGACATTCGGCATACAACTGCTAAACCAATGTTTAGATATACAATTGGAAAACGATAGAGGTTCAAGTCTCTGTGTCAAACATATAAAGATGCAGAATACTATATATAAGAAAGTGAAATGAAATAGAAGTTTGTTAAGGCTTTAACAGGACCTTACTATATAATACGATACCTACTACTACTACTACTACTACTATAATACAAAATAGTGCAACTGGGGTAGTTAAATGGTCTAAATACCAAAAGAGATATAGGCAGAGCAGTCAGACAGGCTGCAGACGGACAAAAGCCTTTGCAGTTAGTTGTACTAAGCGAAGGGAATAGCCCTTTGTGTAGGCTCTCATCCCCTCTGTTGACTGCTTTTGGAGATTTTTGTACAGTTTCAGAAGCTGCAGAACCTGCCTGATTGGAGATGATGGTGGTGGGACAAAAATGTGTGCATGCTCAATGGAGAATAATGACTGTGTACCTGTACTATGATTTTGAAAAACTGGTCTTCAGCCTTAGAGCCCACCAAGCTATGCTTTACAAAATCATGCTTTTGCTCACCGTTTCTACCTGCTGGCAAGAAGGAAATACACAATGCCATAGAACCAAGACCCATGTTCAGGTGGGTTTTAAAGTTTAGGAAAATGTGCTTTATGAAGCTCTCTATAGGTCAGACGGACATAGTAAAATGCAGCGGGGGGGAAAAAAAAGGACCTGAAAGCGGAAAAAGAACAATAATAGAAACCCAAACAATTACAAACAATTACTTAAAGAGCAGAAAATGCTACGAGGACCATCAATACCTGGCCTCTTAGGGCAGCTGCTGAGAACTAGTTGTTACTAGATAACACATAAATTTTGAAAGCATGTAATTCATTACTTATATAGAGGGCATCTGACATGCCTCAGTTCTAGTTACAGGTAGGTAGCCGTGTTGGTCTGCCATAGTCAAAACAAAATAAAAATAAAATAAAATAAATCCTTCCAGTAGCACCTTAGAGACCAACTAAGTTTGTCATTGGTATGAGCTTTCGTGTGCATGCACGCTTCTTCAGATTCTTCAGTGTAAGACTTCCCACATTACTTGTTTTCTCCAATGCCACCACCATTTCCCTTCATTCCCCCTTTTGTTTGACTCTCCTGGGACTATTCGAGGAAATACATATTACAGAACTATGATTTCAGGGTGTCTGGGTTATGAAAAACTAAATTGCTTGTGTTTTTTGTTGCTAAGCAGAGCAGCTATAAATATTAATACTAAAACACGGTTCTCCTGTGTTCAGAGCTCACGTTCCCCCCTTTAGGAGTTGCCACAAGCTTCTAGGACTCAAATCAGTGCATTTTTTCTGGGAAAGGTTTGAGGTGACGGAAAGTTAATTGGTGTAAAATGCTTTCATAAGATCCTGTGGGGAAAGAGATTCAACATTTCAGTTCCAGAAAGAGGTTTTGCACATCTGAATACAAAATATTTGGTAAAAGTATTTTTGATTCTAGACTATTGATGTTCTTAATTTATTGTAATATGGAGCAGTGTAACTGATTAGTCCTATACAAACAAAACTGATATTTGAATAAAATTAAGAGTTTTTATTCGAAAAAAAATGGTTGAATTTTAAAATAGTTTAATTCTAACAAGCAGCTAACCAAAATGGCTGCAAATCCTTCAGATTCCAGTTCTGAATGTTCAAAATTAGCCCTTTTCTTTTGGGAACATACCAGGAATATACAGAATTCATGTCTAAGGTCAACATTTTTTATTTTCAGATTTTGGGTTTCAAGACGGATGTTTACGGGGTGCCCTGGATATTTTAGGGGAGTGCAGGGGGAGGAGAGAAAGAGGAAGTCCTGGTGCAAAAGCAGAACTTCACTGGTGCAGGCTTGTATATCTCAATCTAAGAGTTAAGAGTCCCTTTCAATATATCCATCCCTATCTAAATATTGATGACATTATTTAAATTCGTAATTCAAAATTCGGAAGCTGAATTAAACTAATTAAACACTTTGCTTTAGGGTGTGAAGTTGAAATCCTTGGAATTCGACCTACCTACTGCCTACCATATTATAGTGTTCCAACAGATGGCAATTTCTCCAATGCTGTATATAGTGCTATTGAGCTTCTGAGGTAAAGTAATCAAATGTTTTATTTATTTCTCTAATCTGAGGAGTAAAACCTTCCTCCCCATAAGAGTAGCAGCATGATATGATAACAAAGGTAATTCATTTTGGTTTTCTGCATTATGGGAGATGCGAGAAAGGACCCTTAATTGAGATAATGCAGGGAGGGGGTGGCAGATGAGGGGGGGAAATATGGCAAAGACCAACATCGTTTCCCTCAGCTCCCTCTTTGTTTTCATCTCCAGTTAAATTTGACACACAGACACACACAGATGGGGAAAGAGGAAGAAGTCAATAATGGTTATGAATGTAGCACTTTCCAAATGAAGATTTGTACCTATTTATACAACTGTCTTCCCAATGTACAGTATTCTGAAGATTAGTTCGGCATGCTAAAAGCCACTGAAAGCATCAACACAGACTGGCATTACACCATAAAAACTGGTTGTGTGAACTTTACCATTAGTTCCGAAGCTGCTCCACTTGGAACGGCCTATTTACTTGTTGACTATATCTATAAACTGTCTTTTGGACAAAACATTTAGGGTATAAAAAAATGGCTTACAATATAAGAAACAATGGTCCAATGAGGGGAGGAAGAGGCAAATTAGCAAATTCAGGAATGTAGAGGAATTAAAAAGCATGGCCTGCGCCTTTTCTGTCTGCAACACTTAGCTGCACATAGCATGAAAAAATCCAAGTCTTAGTGTTGATTCTGAAAGATGCTTCAAAATAGTAGCATACTATACTTGTTTTACACCTAACTCTTCTGTGGTGTTGCCACTCTAGAAGGAGCAGAGCGGATATGGCAGCAGTGTATTATGAACGGATTGATGTAGAAGGTCATCACTACGGTCCCTCATCTATTCAGAGGAATAATGCCTTAAAAGCAGTGGATAACGTATTGCACAATATGACAAAGCTTATCAAGGTTAGTGTTACTTAGAGGCTACGGGGTCTGTTAATTGCCCCACAGTCCTTTCCTTATCTTTGTTAAACATTCTTTGTAACTGTTCATCAAAGGTTTCATCACACCTTATATATACATCTACACATTGTTTGAAATGGTAACACACATTGTACCTGTTCCAGATGTGAGTCATAGGTACTTGTGATCAAATCAATGCACGTAACTGCTTCAGATGTGACAGGGTACACTTGCTGTACTCTTGGCCATTGCTGGATGTGATGTCATAAAATGCATAAACACTGCTACCGCTTACACACAAGGAAATAAAGGGAATAGTATATGCTGTGCTTGCAATGGTTCCCAAATGGCTGGCTCCAGATAGTGAAGAAAACCAGTTTCGTCAGAGCTCCAAGGTAAGCCCACCGCCACCACAGCAAAGTCAGAATGCCAATGTATGCACGGAGTACCCAATAAATTCGGTGAGAAAGTGAGAGGATTGTCAGTTTGTATGCTCCACCTCTTCCAAGTTAAAAGGGACAACTAAGTGCCTGTCTTCAGGGCCCTTAAATTACCCAAGTCCTCAGGCTCAGTATCAGGCACCTTCAATTGTAACATCTACAACCCTTCCTCAGCCACCAACCCCATTTAAGCCAAATCGTGCTTTCCAACTAGCCACTAAAGGAGTCATCATAAAAAGGAAAGGGGGAAGAATCTATTTGCCCACTTCCCTGCCATTTGAGCACTGAGCAGAACTGGGAGAAGCCTCTGTCTGAAGTCTTGAATGTGAAACATTGGGGTAACTGGGTACATAGATTCACATGTTCCCTCAAAGAATGATTAAATCTACCATATTAAACTAGAAAATCAGTGGGCAAGGACTGCTCTGTTTCGCTTTCTTGGCATCCACTGACATTTTGCAGCTATGTAATAAATGTAGTAAGGGACGCGGGTGGTGCTGTGGGTTAAACCACAGAGCCTAGGACTTGCCGATCCGAAGGTCGGTGGTTCGAATCCCCGCGACGGGGTGAGCTCCCGTTGCTCGGTCCCAGCTCCTGCCAACCTAGCAGTTCGAAAGCACGTCAAAGTGCAAGTAGATAAATAGGTACCACTCCGGCAGGAAGGTAAACGGCATTTTCGTGCACTGCTCTGGTTCGCCAGAAGCGGCTTAGTCATGCTGGCCACATGACCCAGAAGCTCCCTTGGCCACTAAAGCGAGATGAGCGCCGCAACCCCAGAGTCAGTCACGACTGGACCTAATGATCAGGGGTCCCTTTACCTTTACCTAATAAATGTAGTAAGCGCATTTAGCGCGCATAACAGATTGATTCACGTCATCCAGATTACAGCATACAATAAGCATGAGCTAGCAAGATAAAACTGCAGCCTGCCTGCTCATCAGTGTGGGAAGGTGGAAGCAAATTTAATTGATTCTGCAATAACTGCAAGGTTATTCTCTTGGATTTTTAAAAGCCTTTCATAGCTTGCAACCTACACACAGAGTATCCATCTGAACATTAAATCCACCAGCACTCCAATATTTCAAGACCTACACATATAAAATACTGCTCAGGAGGTTAGAATGAGTGCAAGTAGCAAAAGGGTTTTATGGTGTTGTTCCTGCTACTCCTCATTTTATGCTAGTCCATAGACTACTCGATTTAGCTTGGCAAGACATGGTTATATTTTAAAGAAACTATAAAGAATCAGAGAAAGTTAGTCTGCAAACCAAGAGGGTAGTAACTTAGTTGTGACTAACAGCAGAAGCAGATGTTAATCTCTCATTGTGCTACTTCTGAGGGAATATTTATTGTGCAGCCACAGGGAACCCACCAAAACCAGCCTCCCTCTGGCAAATGATCCCTGCTCTGGTAGGAATGTGTAGTCGCACAAGTATTCACTCAGAGAGGCTTGCCTTGCACCATCATTACATGTCTTTAGGCACCAGATAAAAACATTCCTCTTTACCCAGACCTTTAGCCATTAAATAATCTATGGCCTGTTAAAACTGGGTGAGGGGATGACTGTTATTATGATCATTTTATTATTATGCTGCCTGTTATGCTTTTTATTATGTTTTTATTATTGATGCTCTGTAAAATGTGTTCTTAATGATGTACACTACCCTGGGATCTTTTGATAAAGGGCAGGATATAAATTGAATTGATGATGATGATGATGATGATGATGGTTTGGAACATCAAATTGTAAATCTCTACCGCTTCCAGCCATTGGCACCAAGAATGAGGGCCGGGGATGCAGAGACTTAGGTCATTTCCACATTACCTGTTTATTGTACTTGCACCTTGATTTGTTTGTGGAAAGTTTGCAGGGAGGCTAGACAGTTTTGGCTATTTATTGAATTCTGAATTGTTTGCAGGAAGGCTGTATGATGCTGCATCAAACAATTCAGTTCATTTCTCCATCACTTTCCTTATCCCCCAAAGCCCAAGCTTTTTGTGGGAAGTGGGTTGACTGTGCAAGACTGCCACACCAACTTCAACTGCGCAACCTGAATTTGCCAGTATAGGAATGAATCCTACCCAAAAAACAGCACATCTGGAAGGGCCCTTACACTCAATGGTTGCATTCTCATCACAGTGTACAGTGGTACCTCGGGTTACATACGCTTCAGGTTACATACGCTTCAGGTTACAGACTCCACTAACCCAGAAATAGTGCTTCAGGTTAAGAACTTTGCTTCAGGATGAGAACAGAAATCGTGCTCCGGCGGTGCGGCGGCAGCAGGAGGCCCCATTAGCTAAAGTGGTGCTTCAGGTTAAGAACAGTTTCAGGTTAAGAACGGACCTCTGGAACGAATTAAGTACTTAACCCAAGGTACCACTGTATAGCATGTATATTCCATCTCTAACTTGACCCATTTATTTCAACTTAAGTGCAATTTTCTCTGAATCAAGACTAGAATGTTATTTGATATCAGCCCCTTTTAAGCTTGGAATGGTGAAGGGATTATTCCCCCACAGCACATTTTCTTCTATCAATGATGGCACGGCAGGAATGGTGAATCTGCTTACCGAACTGAAAATGGGAAGTGCATTGTGTATTTTCCCCAAGCTGCAATCACAGTCTTTACTATCTTGACAGGACAAGGGCCTGCAGAATGACCTGAATGTCATTCTTTTCTCGGATCATGGGATGACTGACATTTACTGGATGGAAAAAGTGATCGAGCTGAGAAATTGTATCAACATGAGCGATGTTATACAAGTAAAGGACCGAGGTCCTGTTGTAAGCCTGTGGCCAGCCAAGGAGAAGCAGTCCGAGGCAAGGGACCTTTTCTCTTTCTTTACCCACTTTGTGCCAATCAGGGGTTTTTCCCTGCTTTCCTGTACCGCTTAACACCCAGTTCTGCTGCTTGGCCTCCACACTCGGGCGTTACTTATGCATTCACAGGGAAGAACCTGGTCCTGGTACATTATTTATTATTATTATTATTACTACTACTATTATTACAGTTGTACCTCAGCTCCCGAACGCCTTGGAAGTCGAACATTTCGGCTCCTGAATGATTGAAAACTGGAAGTGAGTGTTCTGCTTTTCGAACTTTCTTTTGGAAGCCGAACATCGGATGGCTCTTCCGCAGCTTCTGATTGGCTGAAGGAGCGTCCTGCAGCCAATCAGAAGCCACGCTTTGGTTTCCGAATGTTTCGGAAGTTGAACGTATTCCATTTGACTTCCAAGGTATGACTGTATTATTATTTTATTTTATTTATTAAATTTGTATACCGTCCTATACCCATAGGTCTCAGGGCTGTTCACAAGATAAAAATCACAAAATAAAAACCCAAAATACATAATCAAATAAATAAAACAAACAAACAAAAGAACAAAACAAAAACAGCCCAATAACCCCCTGAAGGTCTACTGAAGGTGAAGAACCTAGACTAGGAAGAATTGCACGTCGTCTGCTAGCGTCCTACAGTCATGCATCGTAGCCCTAAGGCAGGCTTCCTCAACCTCAGCCCTCCAGATGTCTTTGGTCTACAACTCCCATGATCCCTAGCTAGCAGGACCAGTCGTCAGGGATGCTGGGAACTGTAGTCTCAAAACATCTGGAGGGCCGAGGTTGAGGAAGCCTGCCCTAAGGCAATACTGCTGTAGTGCCCTTAACAAACTGGGCTCAGCCTAAGAGATTGGTCCATCCTTTATGCGTCATCATGACCTCTGAATCACCTTCCCATCAATAGGTCAGATTTTATCAGCAGGGTCTGCATGTCACTTTAAACTACAATTGAGCTTAACTATGGCATAAAGGCTGGTGCATGGAACAAAAAGTGGCCACTTGGCTCCTTCCTGTGCCTTCTGCTGCCATAATGCTCCCAGCCAAGCCATAGTTTGGCCAAGTAATGTGTACAAAAATGCACACGCTATAGTAAAGTGTGCACAAAAACCCATATATTCATGAAAATAACATACAAAAATGCATTACATTAGGGAAATAGGATTTGCAAAATTATGTGTGCGGTATTAGGCAAAATTCACTGACAATTTTTTGTAGTAGTAAATTGATGTGGATATGTGGAGAACTGAAGAAAAATTAGAACTTGAGAAACCAAGTTCGCCTGTCACCACTTTCAAGTAAATGTGCACAGGACTGCAACCTTAATATGTTTCAAAATATTACTACCTAGCTTTGTCACTGGCTCAGCTAGGAATGCAAATACATTATTTACTTCTCAGCAAGATGGGGGTGCAGAAGTCCAATTTTCCCTCCTTTAATTATATCCAAGCTCAATATTTTAAAAGGAATATTTTTCATGGGGTTTTCTGCACAAGTTAGTAAGCCCACAGTGTTCCCATAATAGTTGTTTTTAAAAGGCCATATATCTTAGGGCAGTGTGATCGTCCATGCCAGCAATTATGATGTGCATTGAGGCTTCATAGCTTTTCTTTCTTTGCAGGTATACAACAAACTGAAAAATGTGCCACATATGACAGTTTACAGGAAAGAGGATATCCCTGCTCGATTTTATTATAAAGAAGGGAAATTTGTCTCTCCTTTGACACTTGTCGCTGAAGAAGGATGGTTCATAGTGGAGGTAAATCATCTGTGTCAGGGCTATACAAGTTGTGACCCATCAAATAGAAGACAGGCATGAATAGTGGCCTGTCTGATGCTTCATAAGTCCTCTGTTTTTTGTTTTTGTTTTTTGCTCTGTAGCAAAACCAGGAAGTTTAATAAGTCCCTTGTGGGCCACCATACATGGTTGATATACTCTATTTCGCTTGTTGGGTCATAGGTTGTACTGACAGTTTGTATGAGTCGTTTTAAACTAAGGCTGTTTTTCAATATAACCATATTTGGAAGAAAATTAAAGTTAACATTACTGTTTGAAAAGCTGAAATCACATTTTCATTTTAGGAATATAAGAAGATATTTACATCTATTTTAATTAACTGGTTTATTCTAAAATTATTTTCACAATATCTAGCTCAGGGTGGATTAGCATTTTACATTAAATGTTTTCTTTCTCTAAATGTCAGAAACTTTGCTGATACTGGTTAGGTTCTTCTGGAGTAAGTATGTCTCTTCCTACTCTTAATTTTTTATTGTTTCTAGCTTTTGAGAATAGCTTTCCACTATACCAGTTATTCCTGAACCACTTTCATTATTAACAGAACAGAATTTCAAAAATGGCTTTTTATTATATAGCGAATAATTAATTTTTCATTTCCTCCCTATCAAAGGGACTGTAAAATGGCTGCCAAACTTATCAAATATTATATTCAATATATTTTAAGGTGTTATTGTTGAAAATGTCTCAGCAACTCAAAATGTTTTCTTCTTCTTAACTGCTCCATCTCACATCATTTTGAAAAGGCATAAGCAGAACACAGATGTCAGAAATGTCTTTGTCATGTTAGTCATCTGCACCATTTTGCATACAATCAGATCTCATTTTTAAGCTTCCTACCATATATAACACCTACAGGTGTAATGATTTTCTTGGCTTGAGAAAATCTTCAATTCTACATCTGGTCCTAAATTATAGCCCAGTGGTTAAATTCACTTTGATTTCTTGGGTAACACTCAAACTGTGGATAGCACATAGTGGTGGAAGATTTCTTGGGGTGGGGAGAGGGTGTTGTAGTCTTGTTGCTGAGCAACTACGTGCAGAGCTCAGTGGAGTGGGAGGACAGCCAACCAGAAGAGTCTCTGAGGTGTACTTGCCTGGAAGGAGAGTCAGCATCCAAAGTCAGGTCCAGTCCTAGGGTCAGGCAAACAGCAATCTGTGTGACCAGACAGTCCAGGGGTCAGGGAATCTGATGATCAGGGGTTTGAGACAAGCAGGAAGCAGCAAGGTTGGGCCAGGAACTGCAAGTGTTGTTACCAGCACCTGACTGCTGCTGGAAGCTTTGCTTAAACAAGCTAACACCAGCTGGTTCTCATCAGTGTCTCCTCTTCTGTGTCGTTGAAGGCTGATCAGCTGCAGGTGGGCTCTCCACCTTCAGGCTGCTGTTCAGCAGGCAAAGCTGACTCCTGGCCCATGACAGAGGGACTGACAGTCTTCCAGATGTGGGAAACATGGTATAGTTGAATGCAGTTTTGCAGCTCACAGGAGAAACAATAGTGTGCAAAATGAAAGTAAAATTTTAAATATTTTTAGTAAAAGTGTGTGATGATGCATGTGCCTACTTTAACAGATTATCAGCATATCATCCACCATTTTGGATACACACACACACACACACACACACACACACACATATTTAAAAATTACAAAAGTTTAAAATAAAACATAGTTTACATGGTCCAGGCACACCAGCTGTAGGGGGAAGTTGGTAGAGCTATCTTGTTCCAGTTTGTCTGTATCACCCATTACTGTCTCTTTTGTCTTGGAGGCCAACTGCCCAAAGCAGAGTTCATTAGAAGCTGGTTGACACCAGGAGAGCAGTCAGGCCTAGAAGTCTTCTTAAACAAATAAAGCTGAGTTTCCAACTCAATTTTAACCTTGGTTGCTGTGGTTCTTATTATGATTGTCCTGTTAGAGGACTCCAACACGGAAACATAGCTGATTTGGTAGGTGTCTCCTTTCTTGCTCACCATGCCATATTCCTTCCAAAAAGTAGTAGGGGCTGCCATTAAAACAATAGCATTACACACATCTGGAGAGCTGTCAGAACTGATTTATGATTTGTTATTTTTTATTACTTCCCAACAAAAATAGGTACAGTTACCTTGGGTTTGCGTCCTGCCAGTGACAAATATGCAAAACTTGAATGTCACTGGCACGGCACATTATCACTTCGTGTTGGATTTTAGGCTTATACATTGGAGAGATGCATGATTTCTGCTACACACAGTGGCAGCATAAAATCTGCCTCTGCCTCCAGTGATGGGGTGTTCAAATTCCCCTTCCTGTATGAATGATGCCAACAAAAGTGAGCAATGGCTCGATCCAAAGAATGATGCCCTTCCAATTTATAGCTTCAGTGAATTTGAGCTAGCAACACAATAAACTGATGCTGGAATCCCTTTTGATTTTTATCTGCTTCTATTTATGATGAGATTCCTTGCCTGTCAGCACTGTAGTCATTAAAAAAATAAAAACCTTTAAAAACTCAGGAGCCCCTTGAGTATCCATACATTTCTCTGTATTTAATAGTCAGCAGATGTACTAGATAATTGAACAATTCTAGCTGACAAATTAAATCTGTTTCCTTTTCTCTATCTATTTTTACTGACAGCACTCAGAGTGAGCAAAGGTGGGGAAATTGGCTCCCCCTTTTAACTCCAGAGCCCCTTTGCTCTGTTTAATTCATTTCCAGGCTGTCAGTGGTCTGCCCAATGTCTACCACGTTTGCTAGCATTAACCTATGGCCTGCCAAGTCTTACCTAATTTGTAAAATAGTCTTATGCCAGCATGACATAACTTGTTAAACCTTTCAAAATTTGCTAGATGTTGCTGTTGGCTCATCTAGCAGCGTATCAAAACTAATAAATCAACAGTGCCCTCTGCTCAGGTCCACGTATGAAGAAAATGCCTATCAGTGCCTGTTGAGAATGAAGTCCAAAAGCACAGCAACTTTCAGTACATAAAATCAAACATATTGAATGTATGGGATAATACATTCAAATGTATTATAGGTTTTCTTATTAAACCGTTATGTCACCACAGTAATTCAGCTAAGGTGGAAGTCAAAAAACAGGGCCAGGGTTATCAGAATGACACCGGAAAATGGGGACTGTGTTAGTGATGCATACATTCCTGTAAAAGAAGGATCAAAGCCAGCTCTTCTCAAAACCATTGCTTGCTGCAGCTGTTGTGGCTGAAGTGATAAACCAGTTTATTGTTTAAAGGTGAATGTGCAGTGTGCTGGTGCACAGGGCTAAAATTGGGCCACTTTTCTCTTTCCCATTTCTGCTCCAGTATTTGGCTTAGCATTATGTCCAAACTTGGGCTAATAGGTTGTATCTCTCCAAAAAAACCCATAAGTTATAATCAAAGTTTGTTCTTGGCTTACTGGTACAGTAGTGTTTTGTTTGGTGGGAGACAAACAATGGCTTAATTGTGGTTTAAAAGATGCAGAATACAGAACAGAACTCTATAGTATGGGGGTTCATGGGGTAGCTGGAAGAGATACCAACGCCTTTTCTTAAATTTCCTTGATGCTTACTCACAAATATCTCGATAGACGAGTCATCCTGAATTGTTTTCGCAATCATGGATGTAGCTTGGAAGGATGTCTGAGTTTTCTTCCTGCTCTTTGAAAAGATGAGGGCAGTCACTTCATAAAACACTACTGACCTGTTTGTGTTAATATAATATTGTGTAATGGTATTTAATCTATATCAACTAATTGACCAGTTAAACCCATTTACACAGGGCTCTCATCTAGGATGCCCTTCATATTTTTTATTTTACCAACCCTATGTCTATGGAGGACTAAACTGCAGTGCAAAATTAAAACTAGCATGGCAATCCTATACAGTATGCACACTTATCTAGGGCAAGTCTCACTGAACGTGGGACTTACTTCTGAGTGGGCATGCACAGGATTGTGCTTCAGTCATTTAATGTGTAGGCTCTGTATTTGTAGTGCTGTATGACCTTTTTTCAAAACAATTAAATACAATTACTTAATTTAATGATTCCATTCTTTAAATCCATTCATCTGGATGATCACCTTTACTTGGAAGGAAGTTTAATTAGTTTCACAGTGGAACTTCTTCTCAATAACTATGTTCAGCACTGAAGCCTGAGATGTGTAACACACTCATGTTAAACAGAATTTCTTTCCCCTTGCAGAGCAAAGAAAAGCTTCCATTCTGGGAGAATGGAACTGGAAAAAGAGATGCCTGGCAGAATGGATGGCATGGCTATGATAATGAACTGTTGGATATGAGAGGATTCTTCCTTGCATATGGCCCAGGTAGGTCAACTGGAGAAGTAGATAATCACCCTATTCCTTCCTTGCTTGCAACAGATGCAGTTTTTGGTGCTCTCTGTTGAGTGTATGTGGACACTAGTTAATTGTGCAGATTCAGTCTTTCTGCTACAACAAGTGTGGAGAACCTGTGGCCCTCCAGATGTTATTGGACTCCAACTCCCATCAACCTCAGCAAACATGGTCAATGGCCAAAGACAATGGGAGTTACAGTTTAGCAATGTCTAGAGGGCATTGTGGATTAAACCACAGAACCTAGGACTTGCCGATCAGAACCCCGGAGTCGGTCACGACTGGACCTAATGGTCAGGGGTCCCTTTACCTTTAGAGGGCCTAAGGTTCCTCACACTGTGCAAATGAAGCAGAAACAAGAGTTACTCTACTTCCAACTTCTATGCTTTGTTTTAAACTGCTTGGGAAAATAGCATATAACTTGCCTTACCAGTGTATTTCCAGCGACTTTGTTAAAATATATTGTCCTAGCCATTATGAACTACATAAGGGAGCACAACTAATAAAATGTCTTTCTGTTTAGAGAGCACAGAATGAGAAAGTGTAAATCTTGCATAATATGGAATCTTATTTAAATCCTAATCCTAAATCTGTCACGGGCCAGAGCAATATACGCAGTATTTTTTTATAAAAATATTTATAACAAATATACATCACAGTGGTTTGCAACAATATGAAATCCTAAAAAGTTAAAAGCAAGTTAAAAACCAAAAGAATTAAAAACAAGCATCAGTATACCATTGTGGGGGGTGTACTCTTTATTGCCTGCAAAGGCCTGGTGGAATAGAAAGGTTTAAAAGTTGGCACAGAAGGTGCCCGCTGAATCTCTATTGGCAGGGTCTTCCACAAGACTGGGCTGATGACACTAAAGGCTCAGTTTCTCAATGCTGTAAAATTATTTCCTTTCTCCACCCTGCAAAATAGGGCAAGATTTATTTTGTTTAATATTACAATACACAGACATTGCAGTTAAAAGTAAACCTGTTAAGTACGGTAGGTCTGTGTAAGCCGCCACTCAAGGATATATACTAAAGGCAATTTTCTTTTGAAAGCTATGATAATTGTGCTGGGTTGAGAGGTTGCCAGTAGTCTGAGATTTCATCAGCTACATTGGATGTTCTTGAGTAATATTGGCAGAAGGAAACATTTAGTTGTGCCCCCCTGTGTTTATCAAAAGTCTGGCTTGTCGTGAACTGTTTTTGTTCTTGGAGTTGCAAATTTTGGACCCCTCTGCCTACAGTCAAGGCTCTGTGTACTTTTTATTGTGTTAAAAGAATAATAATCCATCATTCAAACCTTACGGAGAAATTATCTCTCTCCACTCACAGTAAACAAGGAGCAATTTTTCAAACATTTCACCTTGATCCAATCCTTAAACTATTCATGTTACTTGTCTGTTATCAGAGGAGTATCTTTATTTGTGAAAGCATTGAAAACCAGCTTTTGTTGGAGAAATAAGTTCTTTCTATTGAACTCAACAAAAGTATTCCAAGCAGTACTTTTTGATTTCCTGGAACCAGAGCAATTCAAAATTATTCAAGGCTAAGATGAAGTCTCACGCTCTATTCTTTGTCTGTTAAGCATATTCAGTCCAAAGTACATCCAAAGTCATCTCCCCCTCACAGAATGGGGTGGATAAGGTTCATTATTTCCTCAACTGGTATAAAAAAAGGCTATATCACCAGCAACATATTCAACTGCCTTTGATTTAACCATTGTGAAAAACCACATCCTATAATTATAATTGGGAGGACTGCGTTGGTTCTTTATTATCAAGTAGGACCCAAACACAAAATGGTAAAAAACATGTGGGCGTGCATTTATATATATTCTTGCTATGTTATCTCAGTGTCTTACATAGGAGCATAATGCCTTATATTGATTCAGACCATTGGTCCATCTAGGTCAACAAACCCTCTCTGAGGTGTTAAGTTTGATAGTTCCTGCCAACCTAGCAGTTCGAAAGCATGCCAGTGCAAGTAGATAAATAGGTACCGCTGCGGTGGGAAGGTAAACAGCATTTCCGTGCGCTCTAGCTTCCTCCCCGGTTCCCATTGTGCCAGAAGCGGTTTAGTCATGCTGGCCACATGACCCAGAAAGCTGCCTGTGGACAAACGCCGGCTCCGTCGGCCTGAAAGCAAGATGAGCACCGCAACCCCAGTCGCCTTGGACTGGACTGAACCACCCAGGGGTTCTTTACCTACCTTAACCTTACCTTGTTGTAAGCTGAAAATGCAACTCTTTACCTAGGCCTTTGACACCTGAGAGATATACTTTAGGACCCACTATATTCTCTTGATTGTCATTTGTTTTACCTAAATCATGGTGAAGGGAAGGGATCTTAATCATATTATTATCTATACTGGCTGGCAGCAGTTCTTCAGGATCTTAGGCAGAAGGCCTTCCCAGGGCCAGCCTGGTGATGCTTGGAATTGAAACTGCAAAATAGATGCTTAACAACTGAGCTGTAACTGTTCCCCATACCTGGACATACTATGAGTGGGAAAAGGAAGTGAAACATAATGGAGCAAATATCTTAAAAGAAAATGTTAAGGTTATCAAGGATATGAACAGAGCTAATGTGGCACGACGGCCATATATGGAGAAATGGAACATACAGTCAAAATTACTTTGCAGAAATAAGCCTTAGCTGGATTCCGCCCCAAACTGATCCAGGATGGCAAGGACTGCAGCAGAGTTGTTACTGTGAAATTCATCCAAATTGGATCCTTCAGCTAGTGGGAAAAGTAAACTGCGGCATAACCTGAAGTCAAGATCCAGGGATGTGATTAAAGGCAAAAGAACAGTGGGTAGCAGACAGTGCCAAACACAGAATACAAGATACCAAACCAGCAAAAAATTGTTGCTTAAACAATACTTTTGGAAATTAGGTTAGGAGGTTCTTCCATGTTCTCTCAGATCCTCTGATATTGGACCAGAGGGCAGATTCACAACATGCACTAATAACTGTGCAGTAGTGACTGAAAGCAACTTCACATTGAGGCTGACTAACTGGTATAGTAAGCCTTCATGAGAGTACTATGGGGAAAAGTGAACATTTAAATGTGGACCATGCTTGCTAACTTTTGTTTGTGTTGCTAAAGGCTTTCTGACCTCATGCAAAAGTGAGGCAAATGTTAAATTCCAGGTGATATTAATTTAGCTTGCAGCATTGCAAAGTACGCTACTGATCTAAAATGCCTCATTGTCATTTTGTTTCAGATTTCAAGTCTAACTTCAGAGCCGCGCCAATCAGATCAGTTGATGTTTATAATGTCATGTGCAAGGTTGCAGGAATACAGCCATTGCCAAACAATGGGTCCTGGTCGAGAGTGCAGTGTATGTTAAAAAATAATGCCAGTTTGGCACCATCATTCCAGTGGAGCAGCTCTGTGCTGGCACTACTTCTGTTTGTATTGTTTGTATAACAGATCTTGTTACTCCGGTCCCAATACAATGTCAGTCAGTGTGTCCAGTCTTTTTTTTTCATTCGTCATTTGAATAGCAGTATTAACAGAATGCTGTCTGGGGGGAGATTATACATATGCATTTCTAAAGCATCAAACCCAGCTTCACGTGTTTATAGGCACTAAGAAACATTATGTAAGCTCCTAGTTCTGGGGCATGCACTACCAATGAGGGGAAGAAGGAACATTTTCCACGGTACTGTATTCGTCTCCAGGTCCCTAACCAACCTCTAAGTGAAACAAGCACATGCTTAAGACTAAAAGGTCTACATGAAATCTAGCAATTTTGGTCTTAGAAGTCTTCCTGGTTTTGCATTTATCTACATGTACAGTGGTACCTCGGGTTACATACGCTTCAGGTTATATACACTTCGGGTTACAGACTCTGCTAACCCAGAAATATTAACTCAGGTTAAGAACTTTGCTTCAGGATGAGAATAGAAATCATGCTCTGGCGGCGCGGCAGCAGCAGGAGGCTCCATAGGCTAAAGTGGTGCTTTAGGTTAAGAACGGACCTCCGGAACGAATTAAGTACTTAACCTGAGGTACCACTGTAGAAGGTATATGGAAAGCTCCATTTGCTGACTAGACAGCCACCCCCACTTAGGCTATCCCTTAAGCCAGGTGTGGGCAGAATTCAGACTCAAAGGATCTACTCCACTTGTATCCCCCACCTTTAAATCAAGATCCATCAACCTGAGCCTGGTACAAAAGACTGAGCTCAGCGTAGTACCAGAACTGAACTGACCTTAGAGTCCTTCCACAAAATAGATCCATGGTTTACTACTACCCTCCCCATTTAATGCTTAATTTTTGTTACTACTGATCAGCTAGGAACAAGAAAGCTTTGCTGATGTACCTCAAATTATCCAGAGATCCACCACTTGAGCCATAAGTCCTTCTCCATATGCACCAAGCATTTGCTCCTAAACCAATGATGTTTTACTTGTCTATGGCCTTCCCTGCATTTCTGCTTTAAGCTGAAGACTTTGGCATTTGGCACTGTACAGTGGTACCTCAGGTTAAGTACTTAATTTGTTCTGGAGGTCCGTACTTAAGCTGAAACTATTCTTAACCTGAAGCACCACTTTAGCTAATGGGACCTCCCGCTGCTGCCGTGCCGCCGGAGCCCGATTTCTGTTCTCATCCTGAATCAAAGTTCTTAACCTGAAGCACTATTTCTGGGTTAGCGGAGTCTGTAACCTGAAGCGTATGTAACCTGAGGTACCACTGTAATGGTAAACATTTAGATCAGACAAAGTCTCCTTGGTTTTACCAGAACTTAATGGCAATGCCACTCAGCTTCAGATAAAAGTTCCAGGTGCTAATTTTCCATCCTGGCATGGAAGTTACCTCACAAATGTCACAAGTCACTTCTTCATTCCTGTTCTGTGCTAATGCTGCAGATCGGTATGATTTTATTTAGCTTTAGCTTTCTTTAAAATATTTCCAGTGGGAAATAAAATAAAGAGTCCCTACTCTTTGGAAGTCAGGTAACCAAATTTAAAATGTGTTTCCAACTTAACCTAAACCCAGAGCAACCATGTGTGATTAGCATTTCCTTGCATTAAGGTCATTCAGATAATTGAGGTTTTACTGTCTAGAAAAGGGAGAGATGCCAAGCCCTTCCTCTCTTTTAAAGAGGTAAGAGTTCATTCGCTCACCATAATTGCAAGAGAAAAAATTCCCTTAACAGCTTGAAACACCAGTGTGAATGTTAAAAGCAACTTTTGAAAAATTCTATGTAAAATTAAATTTTTAAAGATTAAATATTCAAAATTCTTCATAGCTTTGGCTTCTTTAAACAGAAGATGTATCGAGGATTACTACTATGCACGAGCCTCTGCATGTCTCTGTCACATAGACACAGATATTAACCCTGACAGAAGAGTTCTGCAGTAACTGGTAAACCTTTATGCAATTTTTTAAAGTTCAAGTGAACCATCAAATCCATTCGAAGGAAAAATAAATAAAAGAAAAACAGTCTTTTGTTACCAAGCTATTGAGTATACAAGGCAATATAGTTCTTTCTAAGCATTTGCAGTAGCTGGGGAACAAGCATCTATTGTTTAAAAGTCTGTGTCATTCATTAATAGAGCAGGCACTTTGAATTCTTTGGAGCACTCTCCATGCCTCACCAATAATAATAATAATAATATTTCAACGCCATCACAAAAATTACTGAATTGCAAGTCAATTTTTCAAGAAGATACCAAAACAGGAAGCACTAGGATATGCAAACAGTACAGAAGTCCTTTGTGTTCTTGTGAACATTTTTTTTTTGTATGCTTTGCCTTTCATCTTCTTCAAACTTGAATACATTTGTGCCATCCTATATATGTTTACTCAGGAGAAAGCCTCTAAGTTCCACAGGGCTTACACCCAAATAAGTGAGAGCACAGAATGGCACCTTTTGTTTTCTATATATACAATGCGAATTTAGCATAACACTCCATTCATAACAGCTGAATTATCCTGGTTTGCACCAGAAGGGATAGAGTTTTGAACTGAACCATTATTGTATCTGTATAGAAAAGAAGTGCCTTTATTGACTGATGCTGAGCCTCCTCCACAGTAATTGTGGTGGGACAGAGTTTTCAATATGCTCCCAGTTTAATGGGTGGGGGGGTTGTGCAAATAGATACAGCATGATACCTCACTAACACCCCCCCAAAGATATCAGTCATTCAGAATAGAAACAGAGAAGTAGCTATTCTTAATGTTGAATGACCTTAAGAAGAATGATTTAACCACTCAGTATTTTTGTGTCTTTTGTACTGATTGATGTTATACCTTTTTTTTTTTAAGTCAGAGATTTGCACTGCAGCATTCTAATGTGTACGTAGCACAAATGGATATGTGTTTTTAACATATAGATAGGGTAGGAATGGGGGCAGGGTTTAAAGAAACAATGAGTGATGTTTGGAATACTGGTAAACAATAGACTAATATAAAAAAACCAGCAAGATCTTGATATCTACAGTATTACGCATTATTGCAAATACAATATGTTTACAAAAAAGCACTAAACAGCTTGGTCTAATTGTGAAATCAAGGCAACCAGCTTGGCCCACTTATCTGGGCCAAGAAAAACATTTAACATACATTTTTTAAATAAAAAAAATACCAGTGTCATAATCACAGCAGGTGTGGGGGGTTTAACACTTTCCTTCCCTGCTGCACTCCTGATGAAATAAAATTGGTTCCTCTGAAGCTGCTATTTGCACCAGAAGGGAATCTTCCATTAGGCTAATGGGGGGGAGGAAGGGTCCTCCCATGAAAAATGAAGTGATTTTCATCCGAATCACTGTAGGGGAGGAAAAACTCTTCCTCCTTGCTATGATAACGATGATGAGACCCACCCCCCAAAAAAATCTGAGCTGCTATTTGAATTATTAAAAAATCAGGCATCTGAAGTATAAAGATACATTTAGCATCACTTCTACTTTGACCCTCAGTGGTAGGGTTTTTCCTTCCCCTTTATAATTTACACACTGCTAGATTGTTATAAAACCTGTAAGTGGTTTACAATAAATATTAAAAATTGGTTACCAAGTTTTGATTTAAAACTTTCTGGTAACATGGGTGTGGCCAGGAGCCAGAGTTTAGGGCAAGTTTAGAGGCAGAGTCAGGCAAATTTCAGAGCACTGTACAAGGAGGTAGAAGGAGTAGCAAAAGCTGTCTGTTAATTCTGGTGCTGGCAGTCATGGTAGGCTTAACTTGTCTGAGCATATCCAGAAAAGTGGGTGTCAGAGCAATTGCCACTTCCATGCTACTGTGTTTCTCTGTCACCTGCTTCCGATTCCCAACCTCTCTCAGTACAATATAGCCTATGAAGTGTGACCACAGAAGAACCGCACATGTCCCCTGCTGCAGTCTTGCATGCGCTGGCATGTAAAACAGCTTGCTGTTCATCTAGCTTCGTATGTGTGTAGTGTGAAGGATGCACACTAATGTAAAGATCCCTCTGCAACTTTTCTTCTATTTTTTGGAGGCAATCTGCCAGTATTTGCAGCATCTACACAAATAGTTCTGGCACGTTGCCCAGAGATCAAATGAGGATTCCCCCTCCCCCCGCTTTTGGTTTTTTTCTTTCTGGTTGGCTACCTTACTTAATAGAAAAGAAATTGTCAACAGTGTTGGAGGGTTATTCCGATTATTCATCAGCTTAATGAATGATAGCCGTGGGGTTTGTTGTTGTTGTTTTGTCAAACAAGGACATAAAGGTGGAAAATGAGAAATAAGATAACCTAAGTCTTTACAGTACAATTAAATTTTGAATCTTTTGCCATTTCCTTTCCATGGCATGTATGAGCTCTACAGCTGTATGAAATGAACAAGTTGAAAATGCTTGTGTGCAGCAGTGGGGGGTTGGGGTAGCAGTAAAGGCTTTGCTCTGTTTTAAATAGAATCGTAGACACTGTGCTCATTTTATAGAGAATCAAATGCTAAAAGTATATCTGCACATCCCCAATTGTAAAAAACAGGGCAGTGAACATTGTTATCCACTTCCCCTTCACAATAACGCTGAATGGTAGGTTTGTGTGTGTAACTCCTCCCCATCAAAGAATCAGAAGAAACCTTCAAACCCCACCTTATTTAAAAAATACAACAACAGGAGGGGGGGCATTGGTAAACACAAGGGGGATGCTTGAGGCCACCCTGCTTTTGGTAATGAAAACTGCATTAGGTCATGAAAACTGCATTAGGTCATGAAAACAACTGTGTATAATTAAATATATTGCTTACATGTATGTATGTATGTTTGTCAGGCTAATGCTCAGAGACAAGACGAGAATTTCCTTGCTTATTATATAGCTCTACTTTTCTACCATTTTTTTACCTAACTCAGAGCTCCCTCTTCTGGCCTTACTTAGGCCTACCCTTCTATATTTAAAATTCAAATACATTTAAAGTTAACACACAAAGAAAGGTTTCTCTCTTTGATAAAAGCAGTCTGAAAAGCAATACTCTAAAGTACTGTAGTTATTATTCTAATGGCACCAACATGCTTT